AGGGGTTCTAATCTTAGTCTTACGCATCGCTCATGGTATTCCAGACCACTTTCTGGACCAAGAGTTCTTGAGGTAAACTGCCGTTGCACTCCCTCTAATTTAAGCTTGTCATTTTGTCTGAGTCCGCTAAGAATAAACGGGCAGTATTCTAAGATAGGTCGGACACATACTTTGTATAATAAAACCCTCGTTTCACAACAAAAGAAACTGCGTGTTATGCATCCTATCTGCCTTCGCGTTTTACGTCTGGCATAATCAGTCTGTTCAGCGAACGTTAGGTTACTAGAGTATCTAATACCGAGATCTACGACTGAGTTGAGCTTAGCTAGTTTTCGCCCATTTATTTCAAGAGTTAGATCAAGCTTACTGTTTCCGATACAAATCCAGCCGCATTTGTCAATGTTAAAGTTTAGACAGGATTCAGCACACCACGTTGCAAGGCTACTTAGTTCAAGGTGTATTTTAGTAACCATATCGCTTAATTCATGAGTGTAGCAGGAGTAGACGACTTTGAGGTCGTCAGCATATAGGAATGGTTTGCCTAAGGTGAAGCACTTGTAAATGCTGTTAATGTAGACTGTGAATAAAAGTGGACCTAGGACACTACCTTGCACGACCCCACTTGAGATCTGCCTAGGATGAGACAATACAGATCCAACTTTGGTTATTTGTACTCTGTTGCTTAGAAATGATTTTAACCAGTTCAGTAATGGGTTGCGAATTCCACAAGAGTACAGCTTCTCAAAGAGAATACTGTGAGATACAATGTAAAACAATAATAATAATAATAATAATAGTTTATTCTCATTTTGTACATGAGAGACGCCAGTTTAGAGGCATCATCAGTACGATAAATTACATATACGATTAGCAATCATAATTAATAATAATGTTTTAATAAAATACACAAAATTTAAGCTTATACATTAAATGGACCTATAATTTCGGAGGCTCTCAGATGGGAACTAGGACTACTATCGTTTGCAAACTCTTGTAGTTTGTCGTTAAGCACTTTTTTGAAGGAGGCCAATGTACCTGCTTGACGCATTTCCATTGGTAGTTTATTCCATATCTGTGCATACCTATTCAAATAAAACTTTTGCCTGGTAGCTGTTTTACATTGTTCGATACCTACTCTACCCTTAGTGTGTCTTAGTTTGTAGCCACTGTCATCTGAAAGTCGAGTGCCATTAGTAGAGGTAAAAACTAAGTGGTTTAGAAGCTTATAGCAAAGTGTTAAGTTTAGTCTCAGGCGTCTTAGCCATAGTGTTTCTAATCCTAGGGTGTCACATCTAGTGGAGTAGTTCGCACCATTTTCGGTTCCGAGTAATTTTGACGTGAAGTACCTCTGCACTCCCTCGACTTTCAATTTGTCCTCTATGCGTATACTACTATACATGAATGAACAGTAATCAAATAAAGGACGCACACAAACCTTGTACAACAGAATTCTGGACTCATTTCTGTAGAAGTTCCTGAGTAGAAAGCCGATGAGTCTGTGTGACTTTAACACTTGTTTGGAGATATGTTCAGAAAATGATAAGTCAGGTGAGTATTTCAGTCCTAGGTCCAATACAGATTCCAGTCGTAAGAGTGCATGGCCTTGAATTGTCAGGTCAAGTTCTAAATTGTTGCAACCTATGCAGAGCCAGCCACATTTGTCGACATTAAACTGGAGTTGCCAGGTGTCACACCATCTGTCCATTTTTCCTAATTCTTGCTATATGGCGTTTACTGTAATTCCGAGATCTGTGTTCTTGCATTTATAGGTCACTTTTAAGTCATCTGCATATAGTATTGGTTTACCAACACTAAAGCATTCACAGATACTGTTTATATATATTATGAATAGGAGCGGGCCTAATACACTTCCCTGGATTACACCACTACTTACAGGTTTAGGCCTTGAGATTATCGAGCCAACTTTCGTTATCTGACTTCGGGCACAGAGAAACGATTTTAGCCAGCTCAGGAGAGGGTCACATATCCCTAGTGAGCATAACCTGCTGACTAGCAGATTATGGGGGACTCTATCGAAGGCTTTTGTTATATCGAAATGTAGCACAATTACTAGTTCTCTGTTGTCCCTGCTTCGTGTAACTTTATTGAAAAAGTCTATGTGACAGGTCACACATGATCTCTTTTTGAGGAATCCGTGTCGTGATGGATTGATAAGTTCATGTTCTAGTAAGTTGTCTGACACTTGGTCTTTAACCACTTTCTCCATTATTCGTGATATCACCGGTGTTATATTAATAGGTCTATAGTTGCATGCACTGGTTTTGGCCCCTGCTTTGTGCTTAGGTAATATGTATGTGGTTTTCCACACTTCAGGACAAGTTCCGGTTTCCAGTGACAGAGTAAATATTCTAAGTAACAAGACTACCATTTCCGTGCCACCATTTTTGTATATGACAGATGGTATGTCGTCTGTTCCAGTACTGCCATTTGACTTCAATGTCTTAATCGCTGAGTCTATATTTTGTATATTAAAATCTATTTCTCCTAATTTGTGGTTACTTTTGCAGGTCATTTGGAAATTTGGGGTCGGGTGCACTCTTGTGTCATTGCAAAACCACTCACTGAGGAGTTCACTTATAACCTAGGGATCGTTGTGTATTACACCCCTATGTCCCAAGATGTTTACATTATTGTCTTTACTGCTTTTTAGACGTTTTTGCAATACCCTACAAAGTTCCTGAGTTTTGGTGTTACCTGTTAGCGCTTTATTTTCCTCATGTTATGACTTCATTTTGTGTTTCTCTTCAAGCAGATTAATAATAATAATAGTTTACTCTCATTTTGTACATGTGAGACGCCAGTTTACAGGCATCATCAGTATGATAAATTACATATACGATTAGCAATCATAATTAATAATAATGTTTTAATAAAATACACATTTTTTCCTACTTGTGTAGGACACACCAAATATACAGGCATGGGTAAGCATTATTTAAATTTCATAAATTTGGTTTATGGTTAAGTTACATGGTTGCTGGCGGTTTTGTCTTAGGTCTGTGGGAACAATATGATAACCAGTCATTCAATGGAGCACATCATGAAATATAGGAATATTGTCTTCGCATTAACAAAAAACCCCAAGTAAGTTTTGGATGGATTACAAATACTTGGGAAAAAATAAAGCTTGAAGTAATTCCTCAATATAACTTGGGTGTGTACAAATCCGAATCTCATTTTTGATTTGATTTATATCCAAATTGGGTAATAAGGAAGATTTTTTACAGATACGATCAGTTATGTTATAAGCTACAATCGTGACGTTGTATTACAAATAGATACTTTTCCATTGGTGTAAGAGTATATTCCACAAATGTAATCCAGGTTGCGTCGTGGAGAAAGTTAATTCGTTATTAACCAGGCAACTGAAAGATACGGGACCAATAATGTTTGCAGATCATTTGTCATTGTAAATGGTCAAACATCCACATTATTCATTCTCATTCAAAAAGTCAAATGGAAGCTGAAATGGTGAGAGAAAAAAGAAGACAAACAACAGCAACGCAAAAGAAAGCAACGGGAGTCCTTAAGGAGTGACTAATAAATATATACATATATATTCTGTTTTGTAACTATGCTTATTTTTGTTCATTAACTAACTAGTCCCGTTACGCTAACATTTATATTGTGTGAACTAATATTACTGTCCTGTGTAGAAATTTTTATCATCTAGTTCCAATAATATTAAAATTTACAATTGTAGTTTGTTGTAACTACACGTTTAAAGAACTTAAAATATCTATGTAAAGTGAAAAAGAAGGTGTAAGAGTCAGGCGCAAAAGTGCATTGTCATCTTTGAGCAGTCTGGTGACTGAGGAGATGAACACTGGAAGTGTGTTTGCATCGCGCACATCAGCTGGTAGTCTATTCCAAATGACTGGAAACTTATTTAAGAAGAAGTTGTACCGCACGTAAGTCTGACAATGCTCTATAGCAGCTAAGTTGTGATGATTTCTAAGATTGTAACTGATGACAGCGGTAGGTTTAGTTATTGGCTCGGAGGAATGCAAGAGAAGATTAGTTAGCTTGTAGTAAAAGATAAGGTTTAGCTTAAGACGTCTTTTCCAGAGGGGTTCTAATCTTAGTCTTACGCATCGCTCATGGTATTCCAGACCACTTTCTGGACCAAGAGTTCTTGAGGTAAACTGCCGTTGCACTCCCTCTAATTTAAGCTTGTCATTTTGTCTGAGTCCGCTAAGAATAAACGGGCAGTATTCTAAGATAGGTCGGACACATACTTTGTATAATAAAACCCTAGTTTCACAACAAAAGAAACTGCGTGTTATGCATCCTATCAGCCTTCGCGTTTTACGTCTGGCATAATCAGTCTGTTCAGCGAACGTTAGGTTACTAGAGTATCTAATACCGAGATCTACGACTGAGTTGAGCTTAGCTAGTTTTCGCCCATTTATTTCAAGAGTTAGATCAAGCTTACTGTTTCCGATACAAATCCAGCCGCATTTGTCAATGTTAAAGTTTAGACAGGATTCAGCACACCACGTTGCAAGGCTACTTAGTTCAAGGTGTATTTTAGTAACCATATCGCTTAATTCATGAGTGTAGCAGGAGTAGACGACTTTGAGGTCGTCAGCATATAGGAATGGTTTGCCTAAGGTGAAGCACTTGCAAATGCTGTTAATGTAGACTGTGAATAAAAGTGGACCTAGGACACTACCTTGCACGACCCCACTTGAGATCTGCCTAGGATGAGACAATACAGATCCAACTTTGGTTATTTGTACTCTGTTGCTTAGAAATGATTTTAACCAGTTCAGTAATGGGTTGCGAATTCCACAAGAGTACAGCTTCTCAAAGAGAATACTGTGAGATACAATGTAAAACAATAATAATAATAATAATAATAGTTTATTCTCATTTTGTACATGAGAGACGCCAGTTTAGAGGCATCATCAGTACGATAAATTACATATACGATTAGCAATCATAATTAATAATAATGTTTTAATAAAATACACAAAATTTAAGCTTATACATTAAATGGACCTATAATTTCGGAGGCTCTCAGATGGGAACTAGGACTACTATCGTTTGCAAACTCTTGTAGTTTGTCGTTAAGCACTTTTTTGAAGGAGGCCAATGTACCTGCTTGACGCATTTCCATTGGTAGTTTATTCCATATCTGTGCATACCTATTCAAATAAAACTTTTGCCTGGTAGCTGTTTTACATTGTTCGATACCTACTCTACCCTTAGTGTGTCTTAGTTTGTAGCCACTGTCATCTGAAAGTCGAGTGCCATTAGTAGAGGTAAAAACTAAGTGGTTTAGAAGCTTATAGCAAAGTGTTAAGTTTAGTCTCAGGCGTCTTAGCCATAGTGTTTCTAATCCTAGGGTGTCACATCTAGTGGAGTAGTTCGCACCATTTTCGGTTCCGAGTAATTTTGACGTGAAGTACCTCTGCACTCCCTCGACTTTCAATTTGTCCTCTATGCGTATACTACTATACATGAATGAACAGTAATCAAATAAAGGACGCACACAAACCTTGTACAACAGAATTCTGGACTCATTTCTGTAAAAGTTCCTGAGTAGAAAGCCGATAAGTCTGCGTGACTTTGACACTTGTTTGGAGATATGTTCAGAAAATGATAAGTCAGGTGAGTATTTCAGTCCTAGGTCCAATACAGATTCCAGTCGTAAGAGTGCATGGCCTTGAATTGTCAGGTCAAGTTCTAAATTGTTGCAACCTATGCAGAGCCAGCCACATTTGTCGACATTAAACTGGAGTTGCCAGGTGTCACACCATCTGTCCATTTTTTCTAATTCTTGCTGTATGGCGTTTACTGTTATTCCGAGATCTGTGTTCTTGCATTTATAGGTCACTTTTAAGTCATCTGCATATAGTATTGGTTTACCAACACTAAAGCATTCACAGATACTGTTTATATATATTATGAATAGGAGTGGGCCTAATACACTTCCCTGGATTACACCACTACTTACAGGTTTAGGCCTTGAGATTATCGAGCCAACTTTTGTTATCTGACTTCGGGCACAGAGAAACGATTTTATCCAGCTCAGGAGAGGGTCACATATCCCTAGTGAGCATAACCTGCTGACTAGCAGATTATGGGGGACTCTATCGAAGGCTTTTGTTATATCGAAATATAGCACAATTACTAGTTCTCTGTTGTCCCTGCTTCGTGTAACTTTATTGAAAAAGTCTATGTGACAGGTCACACATGATCTCTTTTTGAGGAATCCGTGTTGTGATGGATTGATAAGTTCATGTTCTAGTAAGTTGTCTGACACTTGGTCTTTAACCACTTTCTCCATTATTCGTGATATTACCGGTGTTATATTAATAGGTCTATAGTTGCATGCACTGGTTTTGGCCCCTGCTTTGTGCTTAGGTAATATGTATGTGGTTTTCCACACTTCAGGATAAGTTCCGGTTTCCAGTGACAGAGTAAATATTCTAAGTAACAAGACTACCATTTCCGTGCTACCATTTTTGTATATGACAGATGGTATGTCGTCTGTTCCAGTACTGCCATTTGACTTCAATGTCTTAATCGCTGAGTCTATATTTTGTATATTAAAATCTATTTCTCCTAATTTGTGGTTACTTTTGCAGGTCATTTGGAAATTTGGGGTCGGGTGCACTCTTGTGTCATTGCAAAACCACTCACTGAGGAGTTCACTTATAACCTAGGGATCGTTGTGTATTACACCCCTATGTCCCAAGATGTTTACATTATTGTCTTTACTGCTTTTTAGACGTTTTTGCAATACCCTACAAAGTTCCTGAGTTTTGGTGTTACCTGTTAGCGCTTTATTTTCCTCATGTTATGACTTCATTTTGTGTTTCTCTTCAAGCAGATTAAGAGTTTCATGTATTTGGTTTAACGCATTAAATTCCTTAAATACATGGTATTTCCTTTCCAATTTCTTTAGTTTTAGTCGCATTTTCCGGTCAATAAATGGAGTTGGTGTCTTTAGGGCGAGACGGGCTCTATTTTATGACAGAGGATTAAGTCAAGAGTATTTTGGTTACTTGTAGGGAGGCGTACGCGCTGCTTTCATCCTCCTATGTCTATAGCTTGTAGTAGCTCGTCATGGATTCTAGGTCCTGTACAGGTATCCCAGTTTACTCCAGGTAAGTTGAAATCTCCACATAATACTTTGTAGTCAAAGTCCAGCGTGGCTACATGCTCTAGTATTTCTGCAATAGTTATATCAGCCATTTCAGGGCTATTGGGGGATCTGTATATACATCCCACGAGAATTTTAATTTCGTTTGTGTGGATGCATATCGAGTATAGGACAAGGATGCTTTAGGTCTTTCTTGCTTAGGCGAATGCACTGACAAGGTGCATTCAAGAGATTTACAGCCTTCAGCAATGAGTGCTGGGCTGACTTTATGGGCTCGCTACCCGGTACAGTATACACTGTTGCGTTTTGTTTTGAAGCCAGCCTTCTAACAACTTCGCTGGATAAAAAGTCGATGGCGTTTTCTAACTCCTTCGCACTTTTTGAGTCAGTATGAGTCATTCTAGAGGTCATGTTAAAAAGCTTTAGGATTGTAGGATCCTGCAGTTCCTTTTTCATACGTGAGATAGTTTCGGGTATACATTCTAGTGGACTTAATTTCGTTTTTAATTCATCTATCTGTAGCTGCATCTCTTTAATTACGCACGTTAAGTAAGAGAGCTCTACTTTTTCGGACAGAACATCTTCCACAGGGGTCAGAGTTATGTTCGAGGCTTTTATGTTAGGTGAACTACTAATAATATGGGGTGGTAATGTGTTATTAGACGAGCCGGTGCTATTTTCTAAGTTAATGGTGTTCACACGAACACGCCTTTTAGAATTTTGAACCATCGTTATTAGAGATCAATTATTAGTAACCAATAAATGAATATAAGCGAAAACACGCGCAAAAGCGTCACCTGATTCGAACGTACCGGGCATAGTACCGCTCGCTAGCAGTCCACCCAAGTAACTAACATGGTCGTTCGAACTGGTTAAGCTGGCTGAGCTGAGTTGAATCAGTTACACCGCCAATGAGGTCAGCCTCAAACGAGCGAAACCACCATCCTGTGTCTGGATAACTTCTACGTGGCTACGAAGCTTTACTAGCTGATGTGAGTGCTATCAAAATATTTGTGTTTTTCAATCAGTAGTGTTTGGCAGCAAAAATTTATCCCTCTGCTTCCCCCATCCCACTTGAATCCGACATAATGTCAACTTGTTACTTTTCCCATAATAATTTGGATAGTACTTCGCACAAAATCCAACTCTTCAGTCACACTATGAAACAGATAATCCTCCTTATAAGGTTATGACATTACACACACTATTTGGAAATTTTATATCTGCTGGTGACACAGTGAAAGTAATAGACTACTTATCCCATCTTGGGTTTGTTAAAGACTGAAAGTGTATTCACGTTTTTATTCACCAATTTATGACCTTGACGAGGTACTTGTACTTTGCTTGGATTGTTTTTGCTCGTGAATTTCTGGGATTGGTATGTTTATTTTTACAAGAGTAAGTGTTGAGCTGAAAATTTGAGTAACTCGTAGGTGTATTATAAACGTAAGCAGACGTTTTTAAATGCATATTTAAACATGCATTTAGCCATATATATAACTTCTATATATAATATATATATATATGAAGAAAAGTAGATAAATATCCAGAAACAAAAGCCAGGTCTTGGATGTTACCAGTTGGCTCTTGGATTCTTGTGACCACATTCAAGCGCAGGACTAAAACAAGCAGTGACATACCGTCCCTCATTAGCAAAACTGGAGAGGCTGCCGAGTCAGACGAAACAAAAGCTGAGAAGCTCTCCGAATACTTTTGTGATGTTTTCTCGCCTAATCGTACCACTGAGGGGTGTAGTGAGGTCACTGATGTAGCCACTGAAATGCCCACAATTGTAGTAGAGGATGCAGGGGTTCTCAAACTACTGTCTAAACTAAAGCCAGGTTAATCACCTGGACCAGACGAACTTCACCCTAGATTGCTAATCTCCTTGGCGGATTTAATATATATTCCACTTACAGAAATTTTTCAGATGTCTCTAACCCAGGCTAGGCTACCGAGGGACTGGAAAAATACTTTTATAAGCCCCATCTTCAAAGATGGGGACAGGCAGTTAGTATCTAACTACCGGCCGGTAAGTCTGACCTGCATTATAGCTAAGGTGTTAAAAAACTCATAAGGGATCAGCTCTTAGCTCATATGGAAAAACACGGTTTACTGGCAGTGGAACAGCATGGATTCCGTCCAGGACGATCCTGCCTGACACACTTACTGTTAGCTAGAAAAGATTGGGTCGAGGCCAGGGATAAGAACCATCTACTGGACGTTGTCTTTATTGATCTTAGTAAAGAATTCGATAAGGTATCCTATGTAGGTCTTCTTAGTAAACTTAAACGTTTTGGATTAGACCAACGCTTATGTGAGTGTTTTAGTGACTACCTGATGGATAGGTGGCAGAAGGTAGGGAGGGGTTAATGGTGTACTGTCAGGGTGGAAAGCAGTACTAAGTGGAGTACCTGAGGGGACTGTACTTGGCCCCCTGCTATTCCTATTATACGTACATGAAGTGTCGAAAATTCTTACCTCATCTTCCTTACTATTTGAGGACGATATTGAGATATGGAAAACCGTAAATAGTAACGATGATAGGTTGGTACTATAAAACGATCCAGTCTGCGAATTCCAAGAAAAGCGCGGTAATACACCTAGGTCAGAAGTCTTACACGTCGTACCTCATGGGAGACAGAACTTCCAGATGGTAGGGAACAAAAGAACTTAGGAAGTATTATTGGCCATGACTTAAAAACAACGGCAAACTGTAATCGAGCCGTAGCCAAGGCTTTTCGAATGCTATGGGCACTTCGAAGGGCTTTCAAACGATTAGACGACGGTATGTTCCAAGTACTCTATGCAACATATGTCAGGTCTCATCTAGAGTACTGCATACAAGCTGCGAGTATGCTTGCTACATCAACTAGCTTAGTGATAGGGAGTGAAGTGATAGAACATGTTGACCACTTCATGCTTCAGAAAGGAGGTACATATTCTGGAAAGAGTACAGAGGGCAGGAACGAAATTAGTTAGTGGTATCTCACACCTTTCTTATGGAAAGAAGATGGACCATTTGAATCTCTTCCCATTATCATACCGAAGGAGGAGAGGTGACTTAATTTTGGCTTACCGTATATTCAAGGGTGATTTAGGGATTGACCTTTCAAGCCTTTTCTCTCCCTCTAGGATACATTTACGAGGTCACCACAAGAAGGTGCTCAAATCGAGGTCGAATTAAATACGTGTGGAGTTTAGATTCTCACAGTGGTCAACGACTGGGACACCTTGCCTGACTCATTAGTAACAGGACCATCGGTGAACGCTTTCAAAGAGAAACTGGATCTCTACATAGATATATATCGCGAGGATTAACATGGGCAACAAGAGTTTTCTATCCTTATACTCTGAATCTGAACATTTATCTTTAATAATTGTTAAAGCGTTCAGTAATACAATACGTTAAATTTGAATGTATAAAGTTTTGATTAATGCTGGCTTCCTCGGTATATCATAGAATCTATAATTGACTGTTACGTGGTAGACATTTTTAACTGGCCATTTAGCGTCAATGAATAGTTCCATCGTCGTTCGTTCACTAAAATATGCGGAGAATTTGAAAGCTGTATGCACAGGTGAATGTCTTCCTGTGGTGATTTTATAGCATCTACCTGTTCTGCCTCTAGTGGGAAATAAAAATGTTTATGTTACACTTTTATGTTTTTAGAAACGGGTTCACATTTCATAATTACTTACTTTACTTTACTTCGGCTATCTCCTACGGGAGGATGAGCCGGCTTCATGAACATCTCGAATCATCGCTGCCCAGGCGCAGCGATCTGATGCAAGGTTTTGCGACAGGGTTATCCAATTCTTGTTCCACAGGCGGTTTGTAGCCCCAGGCACTCCATATCAGCCTTGAGTGTACCAAGCCATGTTTTCAGCTGTCCACCCCTGCGACATTGCCAAGTTGGAAATGGCGAGGGTTTTAGAACTGATTTGACCTTCCGGTTACAAGGCGAGCTTGTGTACCATTAAGCCACTGGGACCCGATCCAATGGTCCTTGAATTCTAACTTCTAACCAACACTTGAATATCAATTGGAAAGGTTTAAGAACAATATCTATTCCATACTTAATGTTCTCTCATAGCATTGTACTGATTTTCACGAAATTCGTCATACTTTTATTGAAAGAACCATTCACCAATCAAAATTTCTTATTAACAAAATTAAACATTTCTTAACCTTTAACGCGTTCCATATTTACTATTTATTGAAATTTCTGTATATAAAACATTTTCATCCTGCGACACTTTTTCTTAAGCTCCATAAGCAGAGCTAAGACATCTCACTTTACTAAATATTAAATATTTGAACAAGTTGAAACTACGATTTCGTATAATCTGTATGCATTGTATTAGAATGCTTTAAATTGTAGGAGACGGAACTGTATTGGTTCAATAATACCTCATTTTGCTACAAAACATGTGTTACCAAAAGAAATGTAAGAAATTGATGTAACTGTTGTTGAGTACTGACAACCACTGTTACATTAAAACTAAACTTATTCCGGCCAATATCCGTTACCTTGATGTGGAGGTCAAGCTTGCATGTCGTAGTGACCTAACAAACCACACCAGCTGGAACTAATGTCCCTGCAGGTCCTCACATACCAGTCAGACTAAATGCAGTTACCGTCATAGTGTAAGTTGTTCACACAATTTCGGGAGCAGGATCTGTGGGTGAAGTCGTACTGCTGTCTAATGTGGATATAATGGCATTCAGGTGTTCTCCTCAGACTTTCAGCATGCCGCTTTGTGGTTGGGTAACACCAATGGCGTTTCTATCTCAAGTTTCCCAAGAGGAAATCAACTTCAATAGTATGAGCAGCAGGGAAGTAACAATCGCTCGCATAGTTTCCAAAGCACACAAAACTTTCCTGATCTGTCGAACTGTAGGTAGGATACGTATTCCAATAACTTTCCGTTATAATCTACAACTTCATCAATTGATATCTAGAGGTATGTTAAGAAACATACATCTTTTATTAAATTAAGCTGCCAAATCTTCAATCACGTTTTTAAAGTGACTTTTCCTTCTTTTTTCAGCTTGTTACCAACAATTACTCCCAAAAATTTTGATTTTTATTACTTCAGCGGAAAATGGATTTGAAATATAGTTGTCTTACATAATTTAATGTTGACACAACCAATGGTTTTGAAGTTTTAAAATGTCAAGAGTATTTATCGATTATAGGGATTAACTCTACCTACATTCTGCTATAGATAGGTATTATCAACATAGGGCCAGGTGGTAATTGCGACATTTCACATTGGCTTATCAAATAGGAAGTGATAAGTTGATAAATGAGAATATAACCCCAAGCTGAAATTGATGTTAAAGTGCAACAGAAATGCATAACTAATGCCCTATGCTCCAATGGGAACATGAGGAGTGCATAATAACACCTAAGTAACAGTCATCCTGCATACACTAGGTATACTTTTGCTTCTAACCTTTTTAATCTATGCTTTCTCTCGTGGCCCTCTCCATCTAACCTTGTCATAAATATTTTCACTAACTGGGCACTGTCTTTGTACATTTTATCTTTTCGATGTAACATTTTAAATAACATGCATCAAAATTACATTAGTGCAACTCAAAAATACCTTGACACACTTCACAAAGATACGCCTTTTTCTAAATTTGTAAGTTCTTTTTCCTGTATCATGATTCTATGGTAAAATTAATAACAATCATTGTTTATTTATTTTTCTCTCAGATGCTTTGCTAATGACTGAATATTTGATGACCAATGTCTCAATCATCTAACTCCATGAAATGCCTTGCAATTATATTTTCTCGACATGTACAACCTTCACGTTTTGCATTGAATATCTTAGATTTGTTTATTTCGTTTAAACATATCAACATCATGAATCAAAGAAATTCATGGCTTTGCCAAGCTATCCAAAACTGTTATCTTCTTGGTCATGTAGAACCATATCTGTTGTTGATTGGTGGATCAACTGTACATTTACAAACTATAAAATTATCTTGGAATAGAGGTCAATTGAAATCTCCTTTCGGTTTCTCAATCAGTTCAGTCTGTATGTTTTCATACTTTTACCAAAATTAATATTAAATTAATATTCATATGGATAATTTCAAATAGTGTTAACAAAGACTATACTGCCTCAAGATATTGTATTTACACCTTTCATGAGTTGAACTTCTTATTGAGTTACCTAAAGGATTTGGAAATAATTCTGCTACTTAATTTATTCCTTCAAATTATATATATATATATATATATATATATATATACAACTTCGAAACTTGCGTTTTATAATTTTCTTCACTCCTTCCTACTCATCGTAGAGGTAGTAGGATTTTCCAAATTTGCTGAATAATACTTATCATTACACCTGATTTTCTGTATGACTGGTTTTTTATGGGTGTTCATGTGAAGTTCAAGTGTCAACTACACTTTAGGCGAAAAACTGTATGAGTATTGAAAAATATCAAAAATTTCATCTTATAATGTTTTCTCTATTACCTTTCAAACACTAAAGTATGAAATGTTATTACTAATAAGCATTGTAATTTCAGGCAGTTTGCAGTTACCTGATGAGAACCTGTGAAATACAATGATATCATTTTATACTGCAAATCTGATATTTCTTTCTGTATAGAAAAATATCAAACACTGTGAAAAAAATCTTTAAGGTATTCAAGCGGAAACCAACAATCTAGCAGATGAAGTAGCGAAGATAGAACCTCGAAATGAACATAGAGAAAATACAGAGGTGATGAAGGTACACAATGGTCATCATCAACAACAACAAGCACTAGTCAGTCGCGCTGTTTCAAATCTAAAGGAAGTAATCTCTCACTTATCTAGACAGCATTGTTTCAACTACAGGCGGACTAGATGATGATGTGAAAACCATTTAGGATTGGAAAGGAAAGACAAACTTTCAGTAATCTTGAAGTCCACTGCACTTAGCAAAAATAGCATAATTCGGATTTTCATCACTTATGTCTTCAGCCAGTTCTTTTATATGTGTCAGAAAATTGACGTGTTCATCACGAAAAGCAGTTCAAACAGGTTTCAGACTTTCATCAACAACAGTCTTCGCTGGCTAATTACTGGAGATGAGGTTACCGAACAGAAATGCTAAGCAATACGGGACTCTGGAAACAAACCAACGAAGAACCTATTGCTCAAAAAGATTGCCGAATAAAATGCAGTAGGATAGGACGAACCAAAGGACCATTAATTAACATCGTCGTGCTCCGTCCAGGCCGTTGCTCTGGTGGAACCCCAATGGAAAACGGTTGTTTAGGCGTCGGAGGGTGACATGGAGGAGATCGTGTGGGGAGGAGATGAAAGCTTGCGAACAATTTTGGAGCCATCTAAAGAGGACTTCAGAGAACAGGATAAAATAGAGACATGGTTCTGAAGCCCTGTGTTCAATTGTGAACCCAAGGGAATACTAATAGTAATGATTCATTGTCAAAATCCTTGAGTTCATACTTCCTGGGGTTGTAATAAGTAGTACCTAATTTTTGATAAGATGTCGAGAGGTAAGTATTAGCCGCTTTTTATCACTTCTTGTCAAAGAAATCTAACCGAAACTGTATTAGGTAGTGTGATGAAAACTTTAAACTTGTTAACACATCGGCTTTCAAATAGAATGAAAGCTTTTGTGACAGATTTTGAACACAAACAAGCAGATTTAAACCTTTCTAAATAAATTTCGCTATTCGTAAGAATTCTGGCGTGTTTGTGTGTGTAGTTGCCCTACTGAAAGACGCGTACCAAATCTTATCTACTATTCCCATCCAATAAAGCAAACCGATTTAGCTGAATAGTTCTAAAAATGGTTTCTTTTGACTCCCATACGATCTATGTATGTATTTTATTGAAATGAGGTCTGTGAGGAGACTCACTGAAAGAGGACCTCATCTGAACTGAACCAGACTTTTAATGGGTCAGGAGTAAGTATTTCGACTGGTGACCACCTATGCTTCTGTCCTATCTGGCGGTAAAAGTCATCAGTTCCCGAAAACTATCTGTTAAGGGGACGAGCAAAAGGAAACATAACTCACGCGGAAGAGATTTCTCGTTTGTGATGCTATAAGTAACACTAATTACATGAGGGTCGATAATACTACCAAATTTCCTCCTGGGTGTTGAAGTAGGTGGAGCGGGATTCGAAACGGGATCAACTGACCAGAAGTTGAGTGCCTAAACCAATAAGCCACATTTTCACGCGTATTGTTAATAGAAATCTCTAAAGTTCACACTCTAAATTTCACATTGATGACATTGTTTAACGATATGCTTAAAGCAATTTACTATTGAACGTTATCATCCAAAGATATTATAGTTTGTATTTCGCGAGTTTCTCCAATCTCCTGATTTAAAGCATTCCTAAAGCAGGACTGAGCGAAGAAATTAGATCCTCATCTCTGGCTCTACTCTAATATATGTAGCATGTTTTTTATTACAATACGCAACAATTTACCAATCAAGTCGCATTCCATTGCAATGTTAAATTACTTGATTTGATTGTCATGCACGAAAAGTTATCGTCCCTACATAGTGAATAACTGATGTGTGTATACACTGTGTTGTTATCCCATCTGTGCAACACTATTCGTTTTAAGTTTTCTAGTATACTTTTTCATCCTTTTTTTTCTTTTCTAATATCCACCTGAAAAAATCTAACGTTGCTTTTTCGTTATAACTACTTACAGCGGACGTTGGTACCTGGTTTTTAGAATCTTCACAGTTTAATGCTATGCGTTTGGAGGAAGTTATTTGTCAGTTAATCTGGCAAATTACTCAATCAGAGCCGAGCTGTTCATTGGAACGTTTAATTAAGTCACTTGATAGTGTATATTATGGTAGACGACTTCGGAAACCGGCTTTAGGAGAAATACACACTTCTCTGTCAGCACTAACTCAAGCTGGTGCAATTTACTTCAGTGGTAATTCATAATTCACTTGTATATTTTTGATAGTCTATTTTATTTGTTATATGATGATATTAGTACAATTTGTGTAACACTTGTACTAATGTCGATTTAAATTTGTTCATTATTATTATTTTGGCAGCCTCATTTTTGGTTAATCCAGTTTTAAAAATAAAAACTGGAGCATAGGTACAGCGGTCTGTGTTTCTACACAATTAACAATTTCTTTCGACAATCTAATGATACTGTCATTGCCTTGAGCCACCGATTTGTTTTTCAGGCTTCAGCAATGCATGTAAATACTTTGACTATTTTAGTTATGTTATAAAACAATCGTGAGACATTAGAAACCCTGAGTTGTTATAATTATCATTATTATTACGTACATTTCTGTTACAAAATTGAAGGAAATTCATTTTCGCTTGTATCGTGTCTCGACCAGGTATGAAACTGTTATTATTCCCTTGGGTTCTGAGTGGAACATAGGGCTACAACAGCACATCTCCACTTTGTTCTGTTTTCTGCCCTCCTCTTCAGCTGGCTCCACAATTGGCCAAACTCTCTCATCTCCTCCAGGTCACCCTAGGACGATCCACTCTTCACTTCCCATTTGGATTCCACTCGAGTTATGGCCTGGCGCCACGTTGTCATTCGACGGCTTCCTCAATGTATGTCCAGTCCATCTTCACTTTCTCCCACATATTTGTTGAGCAATCGGCTCTTTTTTGGTTTGTTCCCACAGTTTCTTGTTACTAATTCTTTCTGGTGGTTAAATCTTCAGTATGGAGCCAGTGAATTCGGTAGCTGTTGATGAAAGTCGGTAAAAAGCTGTTGAAAATCCTTTTCATGATACACTGTCCAAGTTTCTGACCCGTATAGAAGGAACGACTTGACATTGGTGTTGGAAATCCGAATCTTGTTCCATATGCTGAGTACAGTGCAAAAGATTTCCAAACGGGTTTCTGTCTGTCTCTGTCTGGATTCAACATAGAACTTGGCACCGAAGTGCAGCAGTTCGAGTTGCCACGTTCCAATTGGCACACAAGGTAGACAAGAAGATGAGTGAAGAGAATCAATAGAGTTTGACAAGTATAAGAGTGAAACAGAATGGGTAATTGTAGAAAGGAATATGAAAGATTACAGAGACTGAATACATCTGCGCCATTGACAACGATTTTGAGCCATGTCACCTACTGTCTCCAGCCATTGATTCCTAGAGTCCCGAGGGCCCCAACCCGGGAGTCTGCATCTCCCTACCTGACTCAGTTTAACTGTCAAGGATTTCATGGATTGATGCCATGTTTTTGTTTGGCCACCACTGGCTCTTTTCCAACCTGAACCTATATCAGCTAGCAAAGCCCGTCGGGGGAGGCGGTGGTTAGGCATGCGCAACACGTGACCTAGCCATCTTAGTCTATGTAACTTTATAGCCTCGTCGATTGATTTTCCCTCTTTGCCCAACACTCTACGCCTAACGTCAACATTACTTATCTTGTGAAACCACCTAACGTGAGACAGAGATCGCAGACATCTATGATCGAAAGCAGTCAACCTTTTCATGTCTTCAACGCGTATTGGCCATGTTTCAGAGCCATAGAGAAGGACGGAGCGAACTGATGAGCAGTACACACGTCCCTTGGTTGATAACCGGATGTCACGCCTACGCCAGAGATGGTGTAAGTCAGCGAAAGCAGCTCGAGCTTTTCGGATCCGTGCTGAGATTTCATCGCCAATCAGTCCGTTGGTGCTAATACAACTTCCCAAGTAGGTGAAGTGGTCAACATGTTCTATCACTTCACTCCCTATCACTAAGTTAGGGATTGACGGGGTCCAGTCCTGTAGCAGCATCTTACATTTTGCAGGGGCGAATCGCATGCCAAACATACGAAGACTGCTGCTCAAGGTGTTCAGAAGACTCTGCATTTTGTCAGTATCCTCCCCTAACAGGACTATGTCATCTGCATATTCTAAGTCCATAAGATTATTCCCTGGTAACAAGTCGATTCCTAAGTCACTACGTTCAGTTAAGGATACTTCCATTAGCATTTCTATGATGAAGTTAAACAGAAATGGGGAAAGTGGACATCCCTGTCGGACACCACTGGTTGTTACCAATTCAGATGAAACCCAAACGGGTTTCAGGTTGATAAAGGTGAAGCCTGCCTTTCCTATTGTGACTTTGACATTTTCATTCGTTCCACCCGGTAGCTGAAACGATGCTTCCCAGATAAGTGAAGGCAACCTCTGTTAAACCTCTCCTGTTGATGATGATTGGTGCTGGTTATTGTTGTTGCTGTTGGTGATGGTTGGTTATCTTCATCACCTTCATCTTCTCTATGTCCACCTGCGGTTCTGATTTTGCTGCCTCTTCAGCCAGTTTGTTGGTTTTCGCTTGCAATTCTTCGAGTTTATGTGGTATTAGACATATATCATCTGCGAAACCCAGATCTTCTAGAGTCTCCTAATCGGATGGTCCAGCGTATTCCTAACTCCTCGCTCTCCACCCACAGTCTGACGCATAATCCAGTTGACCACAATTAAGTATATCATCGGTGATAATAGGCAGACAGCTTTGTCGTACTCCTGCATGCACTTCAAACGTCTCACTGAGTTTTCCGTTGTGGATCAGTTGACACGTGGCATTATCATGCAACTTCGGTTACTTGAGGTTGATAAAGACTTGGGCACTGCACGTCATAATGTTGAAGTAGTTTCCAAATTACTTCGTGGTAAACGCTATCTGTCGAAGGCCTTTTAGGAGTCGATGAAATTGAGGTAGAGGTTTGACTGCCAATCTATGCCTTTTTCGATGACAATGCGTAGAGTTACAATTTGATCAGCACATGATTTGCCTTTCCTGAATCCAGTCAGCTTGTTCCAGTGCGTGGCGTCGTTCTGTATCCAGTGCATCTTTTATTCTCTCCAGGATGATGCGATTTGGTATTCTACTTGCCGCGGACAAGAGCATTATTCCGCGCCAGCTCTTGCACAGGCCTAAGTCGCCCTCCTTTGGCAGTTTGATGAGGTAGCCCTTCTTCCAATCAGTAGGCACCTTCCCTTTTTTCCAAACGTTTTGCAGTAGTCTGTCTGTCCGGATTCAACATAGAACTTGGCACTGACGTGCAGCAGTTCGAGTTGCCACGTCCCGAATAGCACACAGAGGTAGACAAGAAGATGAGTGAAGAGAATCAATACAGTCTGACAAGTATAAGAGTGAGTGGAGTGAGAACATCTACCGTAATCTTTGGGGCCGTCTTTAGTGCTTCGGGGGAATGCCGTCTGGTCCTGCTGCCTTCCCATACTTCAGTAGCTTGATCGCATTCATGATTTCTTCTTTCATTGTACGAGTAGTGTCCACTGGCATTTCCGTGTGTTGTTGGTATTTCTGGGCGATTTGCGGATGGTGGTCGATTCAAGAGTCCTATAAAGTTGTCAGTCCATTGTTTGATTTGTTTCTCCTCCTTGGTGATCAGGTTCCCTTGAGCATCCTTTATTGGTTTCATCATCAGGGTTGATCTCTTCCCGGACAGAGGTTTGGTTATCTGATTTAATGTCCTGATGTCTTGCGGCCTGTTCCGCCTTAGCTGCCAGTGTGTCGTAGGATTGTCGTTTGTCTGTTCTAGCACTCTTCTTTCCTTACTCAGTGCAGTGTGCATTGATGTGAATTCAGCTTCTCCTTCTGCTGTCCATCCTTGCATTGAGTCATCTTCCCTTTCACCATCCTCATTTCCTCTCTTCTATCAGCTTTCAGGTAGGTGTCCGTTGACACCCATTCCTTGTCTTGTCTCTTCCTTCTTCCTAGAACAGTTGTACACGTTCCCCCGAACATCGCTTTCAGACAGTTCAAATGTTGTTCCACACAGGTTTCCTCAGTGATACCACGTAGTGTGTCCGACTTTGCTCTGATGAGATCTGTATTGAGTTATCCCTTGTAGTTTTTTCCTTCAGTTTTTGAATGTTGAACTTGAAATGTGGTCTGTCTCCATTTGTTTTCATGGATTTCAGCTTCACCTTGAAGGTTCCTTGAACTAGATTATGGTCTGAGACCACGTCTGCTCCCCTTCCTGACTTACTATCCAGCAGGCAGGCTGCGTCTCCACTTCTTTGAGATTGACATGAAATCTATCTGGTTTGTGGTATATTCGTCAGGCGAAATCCATGTTGATTTGTTTATATCTTTGTGTATGTAGACGCTCCCTCCGATCACCTAATCTTTGAAAGAGCAGAAGTCCGCAAATAATTCCCCGTTCTCATTCATGTCTCCGAGCCAGGGCCTTTCGATCCATGATGAGTTCTCTTCCTGTATTATCAGCTCCCAGTTTAGCACTCATAACATCCGTAAGCATTTTGATGTCACTATTTGCGAAGTTGTCCATTACTCTTTGTAGCTGTCTTTAAAAGTCGTCCATCCTCTTTTGTTCCGCGTTATTTGTAGAATTGTGTGTAGCATTGGATAATTGTTAACTTCCTTCCTTTTGAGTTGAATCTTGCTGTCATGGTCCTGCATGAGAAGGTCGGTTCCCACTGCATTAGGGTTTTGGCTGCCACTGGTGACATCATGATAGCCACTCACTGCCTCAGTGTGCTCGTGGTTTTCGTCTGGGTGACCGGAGTAGATTATTGACTCTCCCTTTGACATTGTTGTCAATCCACATCCATTCCGTCTGCTTTCGCAGATACCCAGTGCTTCTAAGCCATATCTTCACATCTCTTTGGCTACTTGGACAGTCTTCTCAGCCAGTCTCGTGTATTCTGTGGACATCCCATGTTCCCATTCTTATTCTTGCTTTCATCAAGACAAGACACATCGGCTGGCTGGCTTTTCGATGGCCTTCACTAGCCCGCGTCATTTCGCCTCTCCGACTCGAGCGAAGAATAAGATTTTTACTTGGATTTTGTGTATTTTTAATACATTTCCTGTGTGTTGAAGTTTCTCTAGTGGTTTGGAAATTTTATTGGCGTAGTGTTGCTATCCCCACGCTCAACCCCTCCCTCTATACCCGGGCTTGGGATCG